GTTCCTCACCTCTCCCTGACGCAAAACAGAGTCGGATGGGGAAAAATCTATTGGATACATCTTTCTACAGCTCTCGAACGGCGAGCGACAACACCTGGAGCTCTTACATACAGCGGAGGGAAAGCAGGTGCAACATATGGTCGAGAATATTCGTGCGCTAAAAAAACAACTATACACAGGAACAAGCGCAGACTTTCTGGGAGTGCCGATGGCAGCCAGTGGTTTAAGACGTCAGAAGAGTATCCAATGAAATGAGAGGCGGACTGTTAACGCAGAATGGGGCAGCGACAATGACCTCAAGGAGGTGGGTGATGGGGGGGAGGGCAGGAGAGAATGGAAGACAGTCCTTCCATATACACCATATCCGGCTGGCGTCCGAACCAGGCCTACTTTGCTGGCTTTTCCTCCTGCGATGGTGGCGGCGGCAACTTCCCCAGTTGAGCATTCAGCTGGGCATTACGCAGAGCTATAGGATCCATCTCCTCGTCGGTCTCATCCTCACTTTCGTCGTGGAGCTTATCCTTAATCGTCTGCAGAGTTTGGTACTCGTTGTAGTGCGCCTTGCGTTTAGCCTCGAAGTCCCGCTTGTGTTTCGCCTCCTCGGGGGTAAGTTGCTCTGTCACACTTCCTGACGGGTCCTGCAAGGCAAAAAAAAACGTATACAACATTCCCTTTGAATACAATTATATTATAGGCAGAGACGCATTGTGCTAGCATTTGGGCAGCTGTTGCCGGGGCTCGGGAGCGAACCCCAAGGCACAACGGAACGAGTGAATTGCATGCCGATCGGTGAGTGCCAACCTACTACTGTGAACATACCCGATCAAAACCGGCAGGGCAAACAGCCCGTGGCGCAGTGTTTAGAGCGTTGGACTTCTAACAGGGTCAGGGGTTCTAGCCCCGAGGGCGGCTGGGTATGGCTGGTTGATCACGGGTAATAAGCCAGAAAAGACCATTCCAGTTTTTCCTGTCTTTGCCGGTAATGTATTTTGCCTATAATGTAAATATGTGTGCGTAAATATTGTAGGTTCAACTATCTTATCGCATTTATCCCCAGGGTAAATAGGGGTGACAGTCGGAGGTCACGTGACCAAGATCCAACACTGAAAATACAAGCGGACGTGCGGGTTCCAGGAACTAATTGAGAAGAAGAAGAAGAAGAAGAAGAAGAAGAAGAAGAAGAAGAAG